AAATATACACTGCTTCACCAGGTGGAGCATGCACGTGGCACCATTGCATTAGTGCAACACAGCTGCTATGCAGAATAGTGTTTTCCCATCTGTGAATTGTAATTATCCTGTAATAAAGGTGAAATATAATAAGCCCAACAACGCTTCTTGTGTTTTTTAAAGACTTCTACCTGTGGTATATTACACTTAGCATTAATACTGGGTTTCTGGACGTTGTACATTGTTTAGTAGAGTGAACAGAATATAATGTTTTGGAAACTGGGTCTGTTTCTACCCTCGGTTGAGAGAGTGGGGAAGGCATCTGTTCAGTTTGGTCCATTAAAAACAGCTAATCACAGTCACTTGACTTCGCCTGAGGGCAAAAATAGATGTTATTTGCAGGACTTTGTTTTTTATTCAGAATACTAGGCTATAGGCCAAACCAGAACCCCATTAATGCTGATGTCTTTGTTGAAGAAAGCTGTGAATTAAATACATTTTTTGTCTGTAAAACATAATGAAGAGTTGTATTGTACTGAATTAAAATATGATGGAATTTATGTTTTGGGGTTATAGTGTTTCAGCAGTGTTTGGCAGTGAGTTTTCTTATTGGGTCGGTTTTGGAATTGGTCCTTAGAGTTAAGGTAGCTTGTGTGCCTCAACCTTAAAGATATTGCCTTAAGTCTCAGACATAATAAAATTACACATAACATCAGTAAATATCAAGGTTATTTATATTTCAAACTGCTGACACTGCTGTCTTTTAATTCCTACATGAGATCTTAATTTCTGATACTGAAACACATGTATTTGATTATGTTAAATCTGCATTTATGTTGCTGCCCTGAGAAAGTATATAATTTTCAGGCAGTGTATACTGTTTTAATCAGAAGTGCCTAGCATCACTTCTTTGGTATTTTCACATTCTTTCCAAGACAGTAATTCAAGTACAGTAATGTCTTGGTTTTCTACAGTAAAGGAAGGGCAAAGCAGCTCTGATAATTAAAAACAACAAATAATCAAAAAAGCTGGAAAGCTGCAACCCAGAAAATCAATCAGCTGGTAGTTATTGGTGATGCTATGAATTGCAAAACAGCGAGACAAATATCTTTCCACTAAAAGAAAGCAACGCTTATTCACTGGTAAGCTGGTGTGAAGAGCAGCAAAATAAAAAAATAATTAGAACTGCATGAGAAGGTGTGCAGGCTAGTGTGAATACTGTAAAGCATCGCTTATGTCAGTACTTGAAGTTACAATCAATACAAATATGCAATACTAATATATATATATATATATATAATATCAGTATTGAAAAACAAAAAAGTTGTGATTGATGGGTATACTATATATTAGTGATATGCACAACAGGATGCGTAATTTGTGAATAAAAATAATACCCATGTGGTTTTAGAACTCTTGTGGTTAATCCACAAAGAAGATAATCAAGAGTCTGCTGTATTTTGGTTATTCACAATTATTAACACATTACACAAATCAAAAACTAAACTTAAACCTTATGTAACATAAATTATGATAGTATCTTTTCTCAGACAAGATGTAGTTATTGTAGTACCATGACACATTAGTGTTTCCTCCATAATGGATGAAATTGTTAAAAGTCCCAGAGTCTCATTCATTGCAACAGGGTGCACTGCTAACAGTCTTGTATAAAAGTGTAAAGACCCTAATAAAAATGTACTTACTTCCTGATGTTTCACAATTTCCGTTCATTCAGAAATCCGTTTTTTAAATAACAGGATACTTAGAATATATGATGTAAGGATGTTCCCTTGTCATTGTTATTCATTTAGAGTTGGGCTTATATCTTGCAACATTTTGGAAGATGGCTCTGTCTTAGGTAAAAAATAAATCCTGTGCCCTGTAGCAAGAACTTAGCGAGCGCTGTTTCCTCCCCATTTATTTTGCTAGGTGAAGATAAGACAGCCAGTATACAAAATGATGTAGGCATGTCAGCTCCAAACAGTAGACAGCATCCATCAAACATCCTCCTATCTTACCAGACTAGTGTCAGAAACCTTTACAACTACACAGGATAAACTCACAGCTTGTTGGTTACATGATTCATATTTCTTCAGGTGAAACAGTATCACTGTCAGTTTTTCTTAAAAAGGTAGCTAATAATTTGTTATCCCAGTCTTCTACCTTCTCTTTTGTAAGCATGTTGAATTCTTTTATTAGCTCTCTGTAATTATTTAGTATGGTTGTACACAACCATTGGGAGAAGAAAGTATGAAACATTAAGCGGTGGTAATAATCTTAGTGTGTGTTATGTCAGTCTCTGTTTGTGGATATTATTGTGGAACTAAGAAGCAGGTAAGAGTTTTACTTAATGGATAATCAATGTACAATATGTGTTTGAATGCAGCATATTCATCATCAGTCATTAAAAGTATTCTGCTCTTGTTACGTTGCATTTTTAAATTCCAAATTCTTAGTATGTAAAGTTTCTGATATTGTATCTCTTCTGTAATCCTTAGGTTTATAGATTAGAAAGTTTACACACTGAAAATCCCAGATGACTAGTTCTGGCATGTTCATTCTGGCATGTTCATTCTTTTGTGTTTAATATTCTCAGACCACACGAAGTTTACAGTTTAATGTAGTAACAGTTACAGCAGCACATTAAATAATATTTTAATTAAATATACATTTATATACATGATTCTTTAATCTGTTATTGTCACAACACATTTTGTATACTCATTTCAGTATCGAAAATTACCAGACACTTATAATAGGTATGTACTTTTGTTTGCAATATGAAAGTTCAGATTTTTGACAGGAAACTTAAATATGTGTGTTCTAGATGCCGTTTTCTGTGTAAAGTATATTAATCCTCAAATACTGATGATAAAATTTAATTTTTTCACATCCTATTAAGTTTTATTGCTCTTTCTGAAGAATTACAATCTTGAAGGACATGTTACCAGGTACAAACAAATTTCATCTCCTAATGAACTGAATGACTAATGGAATTTTGGTTTTTGTTGGTAGACACACAGTCTGCAAGCAGTGAAAGTCTTCTGTCTTATTGTTATATATTCAGGTTATTGCTAATAGAGGCGAAGTAAAGCAATGGCTTGGCCTAGTAACATTGCTTTGTCTAACCATACAGATCTGCAGTAGTGAAGGATGTGATTGGATTAGGTTGAATTAGAGGATAGTTTTTGTTTGGTTTGATATGGGTATTATAACAAAGAACACCTTCAGAATTTTTTATGCTGAGATTGAGTCCTGGAAACTCGTGTATAGAAGGTTTTAAGAGGTTGGGTATTTTGACAGTTCCTAGCCTATATATCTATTCTATATTGATGTTTGTTGTTAGAAATCACAATTTTTTTTCAAACCAACAATAATATTCATCATATAAACACTAGACAGTTTGGAAAGCTACATATGTCATCAGTGAGATTATCTTCAATCAGAGGGGCGTGTTATATTCATCCATTATGGTTTATAATAATCTTCCTCAAATATACAAAGATGAGTGATAATGTGAAGATTTTTAAACGCACACTGAAAAATTTCCTCACAACAAATGCTTTTTATTCAGTAGATGAATATATTTCTGCTAAGCATATATAACATTTAATAACTATATTCCTTGTAATTTTGTTTATGAATGACAATGTAAATTATGGTTATTCGGTGCTTCTGGTTGTGTGTGGTTGTTTGCTGCTGAGAAGATTGTAGTACTGCAATCAAGTCTTATTTTGACGAGTTCAATATCTGGTCCAATTTGGACAATGGATCAGTGAATTTCTGAATTATGTATGTATGTAACATATTTTGAAACACACTTAAAGGACTTATATGGCATTTTTTATTCAAAAACAAAATCAGATATATTTTTTAAAATAATGTTAATGCACTGTTATGTATTTCCATTCTTCCTTATATAGAGTAACTTCACTTACTAATAATTAGTTCATGTTATTAGTGTGCGATTTCTAGATTGGTTGAGGTCACATTTGAAATGATATACACAGTAATGAATCTTCATACAGGGCCTTTAAAAATAAATCATATTGTTTTAAATGCATATATTTTCATATATACCAACAGTGTAACTTTGAAAATGTTATAAGAAACACAACTTTATTGAAATTTTTATGAGGAGAAAAATTTCTCAATGCAGGAATCTTTAATATCTGTTACTCTGCAAGAGAATGATGAAACATCAAACTATTGCAGCTGACTTGTTTTCAACAGTGAGACCCATAATGATTTTGATTTCTGGTTGTAATTTTTCATCTGTATGATGGATGTTGCAGTTGATACGAACTTTCGAGCTCTCGGCAAAAAATTGTAAACATGGGGATTAAGTTTAAAGAAGTATGATGACAATGTGGGAGGCAGTTCAATAATATTGGGCTTAAAGGATCATGAAGCATATTTATTGAGCATGGCATTAAAGCGTGGAGATGATGGAAAATGTTTGACCTATGTCTCTTGAATCTTTAATGATCGGGACTGTTCCCTCAAGATAATTTATCCATATGCTGTAAGCACTAAGCTGATGCCAGTCCATAACTCGTGTTAGGTGAATAGGTGCTTCTGCTATACATGACCATTCAGGTGCCCAGAACTGCATATGTATGTGTGTATTATTATTATTGTCATCCATGTTGTTGATGTGGAAATACGTTTCGTCTTTTAAATCACACATGCTCCGCTGCTATAGTATTTCATCCAAGAAACTGTAAGGGAACTATAAAGACTGAAGATTCCTACTTTGACAACATGTTTTTCTAATGGAAGTCTCCATAAATGTTTGTGTTTCGTGATATCTTCTGCATTGCACTATGGGTAGGTGTATTCATTTGAAGCCACATCTCTTATTTTTGATGACTGTATAATTTGTTCAAAGATAACAGTAGGACTGAAGACAGAGTTCAACCAGAATATCCTTATGGCGTTCTAATCTGTCAAGTATCTGTGTTCCATATTAATAATTTTGTAGGTTTACAGTGACAGTGGAATGTATATTGTTGTTTCAGTATCTCGGCGTGGGCTGGATATGATGAGGGTTCGTGCCACTGATCCTCGCCCCTGTCCAAAATGTGGGAAGATTTACCGATCGGCGCACACCCTGCGCACACACTTGGAGGACAAGCACACTGTGTGCCCAGGGTATCGCTGTGTGCTGTGTGGCACTGTCGCAAAATCTCGCAACTCACTCCATTCTCACATGAGCCGACAGCATCGTGGCATCAGCACGAAAGATTTGCCAGTGTTACCAATGCCATCACCATTTGATCCAGAGCTAGCATCACGGCTCCTGGCAAAGGCAGGTGTCAAGGTTTCAGCTGCTGAGCTGCGTGCTCGAGCATCACCCACAGGTCCTCGCCGCCCTGATGTGCGCCTAGAGGTAAAGTCCAACCATATAGGTGCACCATCAGAAGCTGGCAGCAGCCTGTATGGTGGTGATGATCCTGAGGACCTCACAGTTGCCAACTCAAGGTTTGGTCCCCTGTCTTCACCACCACCCACCGTCCACAATTCTGCTGCTGTCATCACCAAGGTAGGTTCCAAACATCACCATGGAATCTCGGCCATCTCTGCTGCCAAGTCCATAGATTCGATTGCACAGAGTCTGGTGGTGGGTGGTGGTAGCAGAATGGGAGACTCAAACCGTGTACCACCTCCACCACCACCTCTCCCTGCTCCAACAGGATCCTGTATGGGGAGTGCCATCCTGGACACATACCTACAGCTTATTGTAGAAAATTCCAACAGTTTAGCGCTTGGTTTGAGTGGCAAGCATGCAGCGGCTGCAAATGCTGCCCAGGTTGCAGGAGCATCTGCTGCAATGATTGAGGGAGATGGCAGTAAGCTGAGAGAGAGGGAGGAAGAGGATGGGATTGAAGAAGACAGAGATAGAGTTGCAGACGAAGCAGATCTGGAGTCTTCGGCAGGAGAAGAGGAGGATGAATACAGTGACGAGGAGCAGGAAGTTATCAAGGCTGAGTGAAAATATTTTGCTCTTTGGCCGAGCCGTACATGAATTCCATCCAACTACCTCACATTTGGAATTGTAGCCCATATTAAAAAAGGTTCCATTCCAAGAAGGAACAAACCCTTAGCCAAGTAATTCATGCCAAAAGGAAACAAAAGCAGGAGGTAAATGATTTGTTTGAACAGATTGTCTTCCTGTGCTTTTCCTAATTTCTCTAATTTATTTGTTTTTAACAATACAGGCTTCTTTATGAGAATGTTTGGTAATGTGGGAAGAAGAGAAAAAAGCGTATAACTTATATGACTGACTAAAATTCCATCCTTCTACCTCAAATCAGTTATGTTGAAATATCAGAAGGGATTTCCTCCCTTTCATTCACTAGGTGAATTTTAACATGAGAATGTGTAAAACAGTCTCCATCCATAACTCCCCACGTGGAGGAACCACATTTGCAACAAATCAGGGGTATGTATACGGTTATTATAAAGATTGGCTTCTTGTCTTAGGTACTGTATATACATTGTGCTTCAACTCTCATTGAGGCTGCAGAAGCTGGAAATTTTATTATTGACATTAGGGTGGATCCATCAAAAGGTGGTCATGCCATGTAATTAAGCATAGGAATTTTAAAAGTTGTTATTTGTGAAACTTGGACATATGAATAAGGACACATTGGTATAGTAAGGTATCTAAACGAGTTGACTGATCGTTAAAGAACCATAATATCCTGTTTAAGTGTTGACATGTGTACCAGTGTTCTTGGAAGTGTGGGTGAAATTTACTGCAAGAATAATATATATGTGAATTTTACAAACTCACGTTGCTAACGTGAGATGTTGTGAGTTAGGTTAGTAAGGGTAATAAATCGATAGACATCATAGATGTCCTATACCTGCAGCATATTAGAACAGTGAAGTTGGCATTTTATAATTGTTTCTCCATGTGGACTGTTGCTTTAATATTGCTTCCAAGGACACTGTTTAAGAGAGCAAAAAATTAGACCAAATGTGATTGTTTGTACTGGTGTTTATAATAATGGAGTCGGCTAACATTTTACGTGACATTATCCTGCAGGGATCCCAGACAGGTGAACATTTCATAAGCATTGTACATGACTACTTAATGTCGGGGGTTTCTGCTCCCATATATAACCATGTAGCACAGCAGTTGCAGCAGTCCTTCGTAGGAGTACAATGACAGTTGGGGCTGGACTATAACATAGCAGAATCATTCCTAAATGAAAGTCAAATTAGGATTTCAGACCAGTTTTTCTTTGTAACTAGCTAGTCTGCAAATGCTAGCATAGATTGAAGTCACTAAACTCACTTTTTTAACTCCCTTCCCCCTCCTAGCATTGTTTCCCCTTTATACGGGTAAATGAATGAAAAGTTTCCAGTCTCTTCTTTCATGCCACAATCTCTCTGTTCAATTTCTTGCCTACTTGTTTAATTCATTTATGAATTAATGAGCTTCAGAATGTGGATAGCTGCATTGTTAGAAGTTAACACGCATAATACTGAAATATTTTTCATAAATGTAGTTGCTGTAGGATCCTTGTGATAAGCAAGTAAATTTTAGTTAATTACCAGAGTATGAGCATAATAGAAGCTAGATTATTTTGCTTTAAACTGGTTTATGTTCCTCATATGAGGAAAAGCTCTTGATGTAGCTGGACATTACTCTTTCAGAGCAGAGAAGGGATATGGGTGTATAATCAGGAGCCATACATCTGCAGCTTCGTGCTGTGCAGTGTGTAGTGATTAGGTGCATACCGATAATACAGGAAATATGGCTTCCAAGAAAGCTTATAGCAGTCTGTTAATAACTCTGATACCGGTGGAATTTTTAACTTACACATTTGACCTTTCAGACCATAAAATGTGGCAAGTATACAGTGTGTAAATAGTCTCGGGGTTTTGAGTTTATATTATAACTCTCACGAAGTACAAAGTATCTGAAAATAAATAGTTACTGGTGCTGTTTGTTCTTGGGTACCTCCTCCCACAAGGAATATCTGAGCTAGGCACACCAGCATTTTACCTCATAGTTCACACAATTGATACCTCAGTACAGTATATAATTATTCAAGCAGATCTACCATTGTTGGAGGTTTGCCTTATTCTCCTCAGGAACATTTACATAACTGAATAAGCCAAGGCAGATGGACACACAATCATATCATCCAAGTTGTGCCATTCTATTATTATTTTTTATTGTGTATTAGAATCGCTATAAAGTCACAGCAGAACATTGGAGGATACTTCTGGTGCCAGATATTGTCATGTGGTCAAGTTTGAATTTCATTAAGTGATATTAGGATGATGTACTTGTATTCACAAGAACAGGTATCCCCTGACTTTACCTGAATTTCCAATTAATGTGATTTCATAAGTTTTCTTAGAGAGCACTAAAAAGTATATTGTTTGTCTAAGAGAGGTATTCGTAAATGGTTAAACAAACAATATTAAAGTTAATTGAATTGCATATTTTTCATGACAAAAACAGTGAAACCAAAGAAGCAAGAAGAATTTCAAGTTACATGATACTGAATTATGCAACCACTCTTAGGAATGCAAATATCATGCCAGTAAGGGGATAACTGTATTGATACTTGTAAGATTTCAAGCTTTCATGGCAAATAAATGTACTAAATCTTGTTGAATGATCAGCCATGTTATTGTTGTGATGGCACAATTTCTCTCCCCCTGACACATGGTGATAGGATGGGGCATTGATTTGACCAACTGGTGTGAGTGTATATGCGCGCGCGTGTGTGTCTGTGTGTCTGTGATCAGTGTCAAGGTCATTCAGCACATTGATGCTGGTGGTGGAGGAGATACCTGAAACATTGGTTTTAAATTCAGCATTGACATGGCTGATCGCTGGAGAAGATTCAATGTATTGATACATTTTACTATAATATATAATTGTTTTGGATATAGTAAAATGTAGTTGACATGACGTGTTGCTGACAAGTAATGTGACTAAAGATTCAACAGTATGATATTAGTTGGCACATGATTCACACCAAAACTATATATACATATATACAGGCACATCATATGTGTGTGTATACATATATACTCTGACATGCATGAATAGTGAAGTTGTTCATGTGATTATCTTCCAGTTGGTATTATAATAGGACTATTACATAACTTCCATAATGCTACTGTGCAGTAGATCTTCCATTGTTGGATGCAACAACTAAACATAATTACTCAACGTTTTCAGGTATTTTTTATTGTTTTCTTGATTTCTGTTTTTGATGCAGAAGTCCACTTCCCATAGTACTTATTTTTATACCTCGCTTAATGATAATGTGGTAGAAGGGTTGGTATGTGACTTCTCCCATCTGTTCACGTCAAGCTCTGGGACAATCAACCCCCGACTATGAAGTTCAACATAAATAGGTTTTAATATACAGTGCTAAATGTAAGTATGAAGTTAAATGTTGAAAAATGAAGCACAGATATATATTGCATAATAAAATGGTGTGAACAGTCGTATTATTATAATATTGCTATTATTATTATTATTATTATTTAAGAGACAGTAGGTACCAATCAGATGGATTTTTAAGCCATTTTACCCTTCAAAATTTATTGTTAACCCTGTGTTTGGTCATTGTTTTCAGATTGTTGTTTTGAGCTTTCATGATGATTTTTTTATCTAGTTTTGGAAAATATGATAATGGACGTTTTACTTCCTTTGTGGACCTTGGAATCCAATGAAAGGAAATGTTGAAACAATCCTGTTTAATGCTGTTTGAGGAAAGATTGGCTTTCTAGAGATTCATTGCAGTGTGTTAACCACCTGAACACTGTATGTAAATATGCGTCTGATGTGAACACTAGCGGGTGGATATGTGTTAGTTGTTACTGCAGTTTTTGTTAACTTCCCCTGAAGTCAAACATGACAGTTACAAAAATAAGAATATTATTCTGAAGTTGTAATGAGTGTCGTCACGTTAGACATTAAGGTAATTAGGCGTGCTTTTTACTGTTCTGTGAAAAAGTAATGTAAAAATTACAAAAACAAAGGTGCTTTTTATCTTCTTTTTTCACCTATTGCTTGTATAGTTTCCTTTCCTTTTAAAACAAATATAGATTAAATTGTAAATAACAGTACTGAATTATAGTCTGAAGAAAAGGTAAACATTCTTTAGCTATTTGAATTTTTAGATTTGATTATATATTAGATAGCTTTGTTGGAAATTTTCAGGATTATATATATATGATGATAGTAGGAGAAATTGGTACTAACCAAACCATCATATTGTTTTATCAGTGTGATAATTGATCATAGCCTCCCGACTGTTTCCCCGTTGATCCTCTTCGTACTATGGAGTCATGTAAGATTAGCTTGGTTCAGCTACCCTCCAATTAAACTAGTTATTTAGTTGTAATATAGTAATATTATTGTTCCGTTTGTTGGCTGCTGCGTGGCGTGGTGCATTACAAAATAAGACTATACCGCGCGGTTTGACAGTCGCTCACCGCATGACACGTAACGTACTGAAGACTCGCTTTCTGTCGTCCACAGAAGCAACAATACTACTCATACTACCTCATTATAATGGTTTATTATAAATTAAGTGTCCCCTAGGCATAAGTGTATGTTAGTTACTAGGTTATACAATAAAATTCAGCAAGTTGTTGTGCTGTGTATATAACTGTAGTACAACAAACAACTACTTAATGTGTGGCAAGAATAACAAGATATGTTGTTAGTTTTATAAATGGATTTTTTTTTATTCTTTTTGTAACCAGTGTTGATGTCTGGGCTGGATGATTTGTACTACATTTCTCGAGTTAAATGTTGTTAGGAATGTGGATATTAAAAGTCAGCCAGAATCAGTATCTGAATTTTTATATTTTGTTTTGTGCATGTTTGATTATCAGTGTAGTACTTTTTTAAAGGAGGAAGAATTATTGCATTTTGTTCTATGTCAGTTTTCTGGTATATTATTAGAGATATAAAACTCATAAATTATGTATTGAAACATAAATAGAAACCTCAACTTTTATGGTGTAAATTGTAGAAAGTGAGGTCTGTGTTTTACATGTTTGCGAGCTTATTTAAAACGTGAGGAAAAATAATGTTTGTACTCAGTGCCATATTTACAGAGAAGAAATTTTGTTTGTTTTTGTTTTCATTTTTTTTAATTACCGAGGGCTCGGCAGGCAAAACAATGTGGTTCCTAAGTGTAGAGTACAGTTCCTCAACAATGGTAAAGATGGCATCAGTGTCCCATTGATAGTGGTGATAAGAACATAATGCTAGCTACAGCTAATAAAATATTGGGGCATGCATTATAGACATATTAAATACAAGAAGTTAAGTTTGTTTTAGAGGATAATAAAAATTAAGTTCCATTTGTTGCATTGCCATACTAAGTATTAAATTTAAAACTTGTGCCTCTCTTGTAGACAGTATTCCCTGGGTTATTTTAGCTGATTTGTGATCAAATTATCCTCTTTATAATTGAAATCAAATTATAGGAATAAATGTGTCCTCACAAATTACCTTTCCTTTGCATTTTTTTAAAATTAATTGTAGTGTGATAGTCCTGCTTCAGCTTCAGAATTTTGACACATGCGTTTGAAGGGAATTGGGAATGCTAACTTCCAAGATATGTATGAATTATTTTCATTTATTGTCTGATGTCTTGTAAAAATTAGGTACTCTTTTTTTCATATTGGCACTTCATTACAGGTGACATGCATGCCTCATATGATTAGCTGATTTTTTTGTAATGTGTTTTACTTTGAGGGCTTCTTTTTCCCTTGTATGGAGAAGTTAGCTTGTTGTTGAGGGACTTTGTGCCTTCTTTGTACAGCATGATATGATTAAAATGATATTAGAGCACGTGTCAAATAGTGTAAAAGGCAGCCGGCACAAATTTGGTTGGCTGTTTTTTCAGGTGTTCACAGTTCCTATCTTGCTCCCTAATAAAGAAAAACTAATAAAAGAACTTTTTATAGGTTAGAATGAGTAGGAGAAATTACACACATACACATTATTATGTATTTTGCTGTAGAAGCATGAGAAATGCACACACAGTAGGTGTGAAAAATCAAGGAAAGATGCAATCAATTTGGTTATTAGTTTTTTAAACTTTTTTGTGTGGATAATTATTTCTTATTTTTAGTTGATCATTTATGATGTTCTTCAGTTTTGTCTCTTAAAGTTAAGAAAGAATTTCACAACACGGTACCGAGCATAGTGTAGGGAGATATGTAAATGTATATCTCACTGTGGACAGCCACAACCCATTTATTTACCTTGCATCACATACATACAGGTCATTAACTCAGGTAAGATGTTTTAATAGGAGCAGTATTTTTGTTATGTTTACCCAGTGGTATTTTATATGGTGTCTCTCTCATACTGGATGTACATAGACCGTCCACTCAGAATAGCGCACTTTCTGGGACTGTCTTCTCAAGGTCAGTCAATGCATAATTAGTGTATATGCATTGTTGCCCTTTATAGACGTGTCATAGCAAGAATCTGTATCAGACTTCCTCACTGTTGCTAGTCCGTGTTGTGAAGTGGATATACACTTACAACTCTTAGAGTTCAGAACCCCCTTGGACACAATATGCCATTCTTCAGAATCTGTAATTAAGAATTATTATATATGAATATGATATATGTATACAATGAATTGTTCTGTGCATTTACTGTAGCATTATTGTTTTTTAGTTGAATAGTATAGTAATCTTCAGCACGTGAAAGAATCCAGTAACAAAAATGAGTCATATGAAGAGTAATTGGCTTCTCATGTCTGAAGATTAGCAAAACTTTGTTTAGGTTAAATGCTAAAGCTTGTGTAATATAAGTTTGCACAGTGAAATTGGTTTTATTTGCTGTGCTACTGTTCAAAATGTACAGTGTGCACTGGTATTGAAAACAATAGCAAGGCAGCAAAGAAGGGATAGCTTATTGGCCTCTCTTATTCTACCTCTTCTTGTGTCTAGATTGTGGGTGATGGCCAAAATTTGTAGGTAGATGGAGGTATCACCAGTTGATGGTGCACCAGTTTTAATTTCTTTTCATAGTGCTTATTCCTATTCAGTTCTTCTATAAAATCACAAAATCAGATTAATGAAATTTGTGTTCCTAACTAATTTGTTTTAAGTAGTGTTTCAGTTTTATTCAGATATTTTATATTAAATCAGATTTTTAAGAGCATTTTATTAGGTTACTTCCAGATGAGAATTATAAAAGACAGTGCAATAAGAAAACACGTTTAGGAACATTATTTTTATTATGTTTTGTGTTTACATCTGCACATGTATCATTTTCTTTGCTTCCAACACAGAAGTAGAGGACTCTTTTCATTTTTATTATACAGTGTCACATCTTGCCATAAGACTCTGGAAGACTGTACTTGTGTTCATTTTTTTCATGTGCAGTATGTTACTGGATGTGTGAATACAGGTATTGAAACGGGGACAGTGAGAACGTATTCTCACAAAGTTGATAAATCTTTTTTCTAGATCTCACAATAGGATTTTCAGTCCCAGTTTATACCAATGAACTCAAATACAATTACCCAATGGGTTGGTAGGGTAGTTGCTATTTTTTTTAACAAACTGAAAACGGCAGGGAATCGATAAAACATGATGCTACAAAGTACTCTCAGGGATTCTAGTTCCCCAACCCCCCTGTTCCCCTCCCTTTGTTTGAAACCCATTTCAGTACCTGTGTTTTGTTAAGTGGCAACTGGAAGAAAGTATTTCTTACAGGGTATTAACAGGACATGGGTTTGAGAATGGGAAAATTGCAAGGAAAAGGGTGGTTTTGCATTTTAAACTCATTACTGATTGTGGTATGCTTGGTTCCTTTGTTATAAAATGTTTTATTTTGAGAGGTGTTGGATGTTACTTGCCTGTACTACTAATACTTCCCAATTATTTCTGCTCATTAACAGTTGTATTGATTGTTCATCTTAATAGGTGGTATGGGTTTTAGGTTAATATCATTTTTATTCATTTATTATTAATACCTTATACAACAAATTCTATTGTGTTTTTATTTGCTATATACATTGCAGTTTTGATTACTATATATATATATTTATTTATTTTGACAGTATTTAAATAATTGTGTTTTACTGCATGAATTCTTTATGGTGCAGTTAAGGGAAAGTACAGGATTTCTACAAATATACACTTCATCACTTTATGATGACTGATGATAATCTTTCCATTTGGTACTTATTTATGTGGATAAAACAAATAATCTTTTTATCTTCCTTTTCACTGTTTACATAATTTGCTAGCCTAACTCATAACAGTTCACACATCAAAATGTAGATAGGTGACCATAAGTAATGAAAATATGGTAAGTTCCTATTTTACCAAAGTATTTTAGGTAGCCTACTAAGAAATGGGCACTGTTCTTGCAAGAAAAGGAAAATTTCATTCTTTTCTTTCTCCAGTGTATAAATTCATTGTCTGGTGCTTTGATGAAAGTTTATTTTCTACACTCAGTTCTAATGAACAAGAGTGCTCCAGTGGAGTATACATATTCTCAAGTGTGTTCTTTCCAACTTTACATACATCATTGCCCGTGATGTTCGTTTATAGCAGGTAAAATCTGTTTTACAAAGCTGTCACACTACAGACTGCATGGCACAGATCCAGAGAGTAATGCTTGTACTTCTTTAAATATTCACATATTAGAATGAAATACTAGTTGAAACGAAAGTTATAGATTGTAATGAGACCCACATTTTTTGCCACATAAAGTTCACCTGCTCTGAACCGAGATAGAATGTTTTAAACAACAAAAGAAATTTTACCTGCTTCATGCTGGTTTCTTGCTTGACTTACTCTTCTGCCCTGAAGATAAAGGTGATATGTTCCTCAAATGTCACTTGTCTTTCATCAAACTACACAGTGTTATACTCCAAGAGACAGACCTCATCAGCAAAAGAAATGACAAGAAGTGGCCAAATCCCAATTGTATGATTATGAAGTGAAAGATTGTAATAAATGTGTTGAATGTAATGTAGTAGATTGTGGATTTTAAAATGTTAGAAATCCATTAGATCATTTGATTTTAGTCATCTTCATCCAAATATGGTAAAGTGGACAGAAGAGTTCTCACTTCAGTTTTTTAGTCTCTAGAGGTGTCATTCCTCTCATTGTTCTTCCTCTGGGCCATCTTGTTTTTAGCTCAGATGTTACCTCCTTAGTTGTATTGCGCAAGATCTGATGTCCAGAGTATAAGCACTGAAGATATTCTTGCTCAATCAATCTTCTGGATATCATGGATATCAGAACAGCCTAAAGTGTATTATTCTAAGGAAGAAAATATTTAGTAATACAGTTAAATCAAAGTGAGACAGAATAATTAAGCTGTGTCAACAGGGTGAGCCATTTATCAACCAGAAAATTTTATATAGCCTGATAGTGTGGAAATTCAATCTTTTTGGAAAAAGAAATTATTCTGTTGTACAGTCTTTGCACAGAGCACATGGAATGAACACAGTGGAAAGGTCTCGTTTGTCTGCATATTATATTAATAATTACTACTTGAATTTTTATTAAATTAAATATTGGGGGTCTTCTTTAAGCATTCACAGGTAAATTAAATTTTGCATTTTCAGTCCAATATGACCCCCTACTTTATGTAAGCACTAATTAAATGGTATAGATTTTCTCAAAAAGAGTTATACAGAATATTCCTTCATGACTAAATATAGGTGTCATTAAGATTTGTAACCTTGGTTTGAAACTTCTTTTTTTAAATCTGATGAAATATAAGAAAAGACAGTTCGTAACTATGCAGTCTGATATCTGATGTGATTAGCTCTGCAATTGTATATATTTTCAGTAAATAAACGGCAAATAAGTTCTCAGAATTACAAAGACACATTTGAAAAGTATGTATATTGTAAATTATGAGACAGCTTCCCACTTTTTAAAATTCTTCTGCCTCTATAATGGGTCCATATTCTGTGGTAGTTACAGCACATATCATTCACATATATTACATTAGCTAGTTTGGTTGTTTTTAGAACTTAATGGACCTGTCCTTTATGTTGAGTTGTGATTACATGCATCAGATAGTTAGATTTAGGAACAAAGGTACTGCTGCTGGCCTCTGTTCTGTTTACCAGTAACATGAAAGGCAATCTAACAGGATGTATACCTGGCTGTCCTATCTAGGCATGATAACTCCACCCCCATTAGCCCTACAAATAAATAGCTTCTTCAGTGCCAGACAGACAGTACAGTTATCTGCAGTACGATCTTTTAGGAAGATATTTGCACATTGGCACAGTATTTATTACAGCCCCTCCCTCTTTTAGACTAATTTTTTAGTATGTATATAGTTGTTTGCTCCTTGGGATGCACACAGACTCCTCCCCCTTCTGTTTATGGAACAGATAGTTCATTACCATGTTCACAAAAGCCACTTCCTGAGTTAATATTTTGTTAGAATTGTTCACAATGCAAAACATTGTATACTGTGCCACGTGTAATAAAAGGAGAGTCCATATGTGGGTTACTGGACTATAATGATATATATA